AAAATATCAAGAGGGAGCATTCTGACAAGGAAGACTTAAAAAGGCATAACTGGAATATCATTGAAACAGTATCTACCTCAAGATCAACAGCAACCTCTTTGTGCATGGAAATTTCGGACAACGCGGCATCCAGTGCCGACAGCGTATCAACGAACTTGTAATTGGCGTCTATAGGCTCCAAAGGATGCGCCTCTGGATTTAGTGGCTTCCAGTGCGAGATGGTATGCGCAAACGCGTCCAATTCTGCCTCGTATGGGTGCGGATACCTTAGACACATAAGTATAGAGAAGAAATAACTTACTCCGTGTCGCCTTCGAGTTCACTTGGCAATGAATCTAGATAAAGATAAAATTGAGAGATTGAGCATGAAACATACCCGACAATGACCGGATTTGATTAGGTTTATGGGGTAAATTTGGCCGGAACGGAGCGGGAGAATTGTCCGGAGGGACAGAAAACAGGGTTTGAGGTCGGCGAATTGTCGTGGAAGTGAGCAGCTTTAACAATCCGTCCCCAGCTGTACTTTCTTGTTGCTCCGTTTGGTCGGATCCCAAAATCTAAAACGACTCATCATTACAGAATTTGATTCTTACTTTTGTCCCTGCCTTCAGCCACCCAATTGAAGTACTCTGATTCTTGTGGACAGCGACAACCAAATTCTCTGAGACTCTCTGTGCAGTTGCTCTTCGACCAGGATCTTCTTCCATATCCATTGCCATTGACTAAAAATGCTGGGATTTTCGAATGCACATTTACCAAACGCTCAAGCAACCTATCATTTGCATCAACAATTGAAGAGAACTTTTCGCGCGAGCTTTTCGAGTTTGGAATATCAAGTACATTGGTTCTTGCATCTAAAAGGTCGAGTACATTTTGGACACTGAAAAAATCGGTAGAATATAGTAACAACAAGGTACATCGAGAGGATTTTCTTCGACTGACCAGCCGCTATCGCCTTGTACTGAGGGAAGTCGTTGTAGTAAATATATGCAGGTGTGTTGACTGTTGGTAGCTCTTGTGATAATTTAACGGCCTTTGCAATCATGGGTAGTAATTGCTAGAGAGAATTGAAAGCAAAATAAGGGTGCTCACTGGTCCAGGTTGTCCTTCGACGGCGGATTGAGATTTGCTGTCAACAGAAGTCATGGCGACAGAACAGTCTGAAGGACGACAGCTTTAGTGAAAAGAAAAGGCAGAACATGAGATAAACAAGGTCTAGTAAGTCAGACAAATATGGGAGCTAGATAAGAAGCTCCCAGCCCCAATTCCCGACCAAAAGATTCGCAGTCCATATACGCAATCAGATTGCCCCTACCGAAAGTTGCGCATGTCTTCAATATAACAACCAACGCTTTTTCTCCTAGGTGGCATATCATTTACGCTTCACAACTGGATCGAAAAGAAAATCTGGAAAGCAGCAATCTGTTCGGCTCGGGGGCGCTTGAGAGAACATACGCAGTCGTAAACCTCCGAGGCTGTAGGCGTTTCCACGTCCACCGTCCAGGGTTCTACTTCACCTGTGGGCTCCAGATGAGTGCCAGTTGGCGGTCACGACAGTTGTTCGAAGTATTCACCCAACCCGTCGAGGAGTTCCTTAGTCGAGATGGCCGTTCCATTCTGATCCTTTATGGTTTCGCTCACAGGTGGTTTCCGGGGACCCGTCGCACGGATCAACTGAAGTAATCTTCAGGCATTACCGGCTTTCTGGGCCTTTTTTTATTTCTTCGGCTTTGTGTCCACCAAACTTCACGGTCGACTGGCACGCTCATCTAACGTCCGATAATTCGTCGCACCGGGTTGTGTTCGGGACCGGCTGATATATTTCTCCGAGATTTAAGCAGCGCTACCGTTCGGAGTGATATCCAGAACTTCCGTGCGACCGTGCTACAAGCAAAATTCTCGGAAACATGCAAACAGGTGGTAATCTTGTCCCAGTGTGCGCTCACATTTGATTATGGAGTATTTGGAAGATATTTTAGAAGACGATTCTAGTAAATTCGTCTAACATCCGGATCTGCCAGTTTCTCAATTGCCAAGACGATTTGTTCGCGCCTTACGCGGCCCGGGGAAACGTAAGGAGAAGCGACTGCGGACGAGTGCGTGGTCAGAATCCAGAAGTGTGTTCCACAAGGACCGGCAGTCGGTTATCAATCCACGCCATCGGTAACTGAGGACGATGTGGTCGATTTGAGTTTTTGGCCGGCATGTCATTGGAGGATACCATATGGCCAGACGACTTCGGCTATTTTGGAAGGTAGTACTGAGCAAAACCAGCCTGCGATCATCACACGGCTGAAGCAATCGTTCCCCATTGTCCGGTCTTCAGTCCATGTCAAACTCCCAATTGAGTCTCAGATACAGTAAGTCTTCCCACTTGTGCATTCATATCTCCGGCAACCACCACGATGGCTGAGCTTTTCGTTCACCGGATCAAGACATCCAGGGTGCCGCAAAACCTGTCTTCGACGGTGTCGGAGATACAGTCAGTTGGGGGTGTACACAGACATGATAAACAGGCATCTACCAACTTGCCGCTTGTGATGTTGCCACACGAAGCGCACAGAGGCGACTATCAACAGGTATTTGGTAAAACAAGGATGCTTCCGCCCGGTGTCTTAACACGATACCAACCCCACACGTCTCGCCACAGCAGCCTCTGGAGCACCGGAGGTGCACAGCCCGAAGCGAATGGACACTGATGGAGCGGTTAACCGGAACATGTACTTGCATCTTGAATTCTCGTTTGAGATACAGAACACATCAATGATAAGCAAGTCCAGTGTGAGTGCAAGAGCGGCTTGTTGTCCTGCTTGCTTCAGAGTGCGGACAGATAGATAGGCCAGATAGACTGGGTGTCGAGGTTTGAAGACCGATTTGGAGATACCTGCGGATGTGACGAGCAGAGGCTGCACGCTAAACCGATGCATGACGAACGAAGTCATATGTCCTAAGTGCTGGGCCTACAAAGAGAGAGTTATTAATGGAGTGGGGAGAAGGGGAAGAGGTGTGTGAAAGAGAAGGGAGGCGTCAGCAGTAGCCTGTTTTCGCTTACCCACCCTGTTATATGCAGCGAGCAAGGCAACCCGGCTGATGGCACCACACGACGGCCGATGTGGTATGAGAGTACTGCTAGTTGTACATGGGCTGGGATACTGTCAGAGCGCCCGCATCTGGACAATAGGACGATTAGGGTCCTCGACCAAAGCCTGTGGCTCAAAAACCTAACCGCAAGGCAGCGGCGTT